CATGAGATAAACTGTCCTACTCATGATCTTGAGTTAGCAGCTGTGGTTTTTGCCTTGAGGATATGGAGACATTATCTTTACGGTGAAAAATCGTATATCTTCACAGATCATAAGAGTTTGAAGTATCTGCTCACGCAGAAGGAACTAAATCTACGTCAGAGAAAGTGGCTAGAACTTATCAAGGATTATGATTGTTATATCGATTATCATCCAGGAAAAACAAATGTTATTGCAGATTCCCTAAGTTAGAAGTCAATAGCTGAACTCCGACTTCAACCAACCTTGGAAGGAGAGATACAGAAAGCACAAGAAGGAGATGATTATTGTCAACAAACAATCAGACTAGTCCACAAAGGAGAGAGAAAAGATTTCTCTCTCGCGAACAAGAAGGTACTATAATTTAGAGGACGATTAGTAATACCAAAAGGTGAGGTGAAAGAACGAATCCTTCGAGAAGCTCACGAGGCAGGATATGCTATGCATCCCGGTAACAATAAAATGTTCTAAGATCTACGAGTCAAATTCTGGTGGCCATCAATGAAGAAAGAGATCACTGAATTCACTTCCCGATGTTTGACTTGTCAACAAGTGAAAGCAGAACATCAAGTTCCGATAGGTTTACTACAACCCATGATGATACCAGAGTGGAAGTGGGACCGAATCACAATGGATTTGGTGACTGGTTTACCACTCACACCAACGAAGAATGACGCAGTATGGGTAATAGTAGATCGACTAACCAAGTCAACTCACTTTCTGCCGATAAGACAAGATTTCACACTTAAAAGACTCGCAGAATTATACATCCAAGAGATTGTGAGGTTACATGGAGTCCCCGTATCTATCATCTCGGATAGAGATCCTCGATTCACATATCAATTTTGGAAAAGCTTACAACAGGCACTCGGAACGAAGCTACACTTTTGTACGACTTTTCATCCACAGATAGATGGACAGTCCGAAAGAGTTATCCAGATACTTGAAGATATGATGAGGAGCTGTGTTCTAGAGTTAGAAGGGAGTTGGGAGAGATACTTGCCGCTCATGGAATTTGCTTCCAACAACAGTTATCAGGCAAGTATACAGATGACTCCTTATGAAGCTCTTTATGGAAGAAAGTACATAACTCCTCTATGTTGAACGGAACTCAGGGAAAACAAGCTTGTGGGACCTGATCTTGTCAGAGATGCAGAAGAAAAGGTAAAATTGATCAAAGAACGATTACAGATCACGTCAGACCGACAGAGATCTTATGCAGACCTAAAAAGAAGAGATATTGAATACAATGTTGGTGATAAGGTATTCCTGTGAGTATCACCATGGAAAAAGGTCCTAGGATTTAGGAGGAAGGGAAAATTATCACCAAGATTTATTGATCCCTGCGAAGTTATTGAACGTGTAGGACCAGTAGCATATCGGCTAGCCTTGCCACCAGAGTTGAGCAGAATCCATAATGTATTCCACGTATCTATGCTCAGACGATTGAAGTCAGACCCCACTCACGTAATCCAGTCAGGCGCGGTAGAATTGGATGATAAGTTATCCTATGAAGAAGAGCCAGTAGAGATTTTAGCCCGAGAAACTAAAGTAATTAGAAACAAGACGGTACCATTGGTCAAGGTACTATGGCGAAATCACAGTACCGAAGAAGCTACTTGGGAAACGGAGGAATCAATGCGTATACAGTACCCTCACCTTTTTACATAATAAGGTAAAATTTCAAGGACGAAATTTCTTAAGTAGGGGAGAATTGTAACGCCCCGAAAACTAGTCTAGATAGTTCGATAAATAAAATAATTAATTGATAATTGGACCAGTTTAGATTAAGAATTAATGTTGTAAATTTAACAATTATGTCAACCAAAAAAATAATATTATCGGAGTAAAACTTGAATCACACCAAAATTTAACTAGGATAAGTAAAATAAATATGGAGTAAATTTTCATGTTTATACAAACCATGATTACCTAGGGGGCTAGTAATTAAATAGGTGCTAGGATTGGCAAGTGTCTCAAAATGACACTAACCTCTCTTGGAGTAAACCCACGTAGTAAAAAATAAATATCTTAAGACTTACTTATTATGGAATGACAACTATAAATGGGTGCATCACTACATGTATCAATTTAAAAAAAACAAAAAGAAGTGGGAAAGAAAAAGACGTAGTACATAGCTCGATCGCCGGAAGAGAAAACAAGTAAATCATCAGAATTCTAAGAATCAGTCTCACCACCAACAACTCGTTCAAACATTGAGGTGAGTACCGCCGCCCGTATAACAATCGTTACTTAATATAATACGTTAATATATGCTATATTTGTTATATATTCAATTGATTTAATTTCCGTCTAATAATCGGGAATGCCGCCGACTTTTATTTTAAACATGCGTTACGTCCAAACTATCTAAAATATTCCCCAAAAGGATTCTATGATGGTTATATAAAGGCATGCGAATAGAAAACAAGGTTTTGAAACAAATTTTTGAACACTGTTCAGGAAGGCGACTGAAAAATGGGTCTTAATGTTGACACATGTTTTCTACAAATTTTTACGTCCAAACTATTTATATATGTTTTGGAAAAAGTATTTTGATGAGAAAAAGAAGAAAATTTGAATTTTGAACGTAAAAATGAAGTCACCTCGTCAAGGAAGGTGACCGGATAACAACGATTGTAACAACTAAAACAACCTACACTGCCGAGACCTAATTTTGATATACGTACTAGATTTTTTTTATAATATTAAAATCTTGGAATTTAATAATTAAGTGTAGTCTCCGTATAAAAATAATATGCATACCATATTACCATGCATATATACTATACTGTGTAAATGGGAAAGCCTAATATGTACACCATGCATATATCTTGCGTCCTGCGTATGGTATGAAATATGCATACTATACTTATACCATTTATATCTTATGGTTCCTCAACTAATGTAAAGGAATAAACATATTGGTTGTTCAAAATTGGCTAATTTAAGCTTAATTATCATTAAAATGTATTTCCCAAAAATTAATGACGATTTCTGATATGTGAACTACGGTTCACAAGTTTCATAGGGTTAACTCTTCCATTACCGTACGTACGAGCTCGTAATAAATGGACTGGTCTTGTACCCAAAGTACTTGAAGTCCCAGAAAGAGATAATGAACTCGTCTTGTACCCAAAGTACTTGAAGTCCCAGAAAGAGATAATGGACTCGTCTTGTACACGAAGTACTTGAAATCCTAGTTAAACAAAGAGTAAAAGAAAAGTTGATTTTCTTGATACTACAGTTTTATAAAACAAATGTATTTATATTATTACCGTAAGAATTTTTAGAAAAGGTGTATGTTTACGTTATTAAATTTTGTACCTATTGTTATAATTGGTACCACTCTGCTTTTGCTGATCGGTTGGCTCCATTTTTTTAGGTACACAGTCAGAAAATGATAATCTTGCCGGAGGACAGTACTGATGTGGAGGGCACTGGACGAGTGGGTCAAAATGTTTCTATCAATATTAAAATAAGTCATGTTATGACAATTTAATAAAGTTTTAATATTTTCAAGTTTTATTGCTTCCGCATGTAAAATATTACTCCAACATTATCAATAAATAAATAAGTTTTGTTTAATGCTCCATTTTCCGATTCAAAAAGTTAGACCCGTTAACACCGCGATTCGAATATTCAAATAAACTCGGGTATTCGGGTCGTGGCGTTACAAAACATGTACACCCAAAGATCTTTGCTAGGACTGGAAAAATAGGTTTATCAAGGAAGAGAATATGAAATGGTGGCTGGTCACCAAGGACACTCGATGAAAGGCGATTAATCAAAAAACATTCTATGGCAACGACATCAACCCAAAACAAGAGTTCCCGTGCAGTATCAAGCAGATGTCGATTTTTGCGTTCAGCTACTCCATTTTGGGCTAGAGTATCCACACACGACATTTGGCGGAGAATGGCATGGTCACGCATGTAGGCTTGGAAGGGGATGGAAAGATATTCTTTAGCATTATCACCACACATAATTTTAAGAGGCATATTAAATTGGGTTTGGATTTCATCACAAAACGAACGAAAGTGAGAAAATAACTCGGAACGAGATTTCATTAAATAGAGCCAAGTCATACGTGAATAGTCATCAACAAAAGTAACAAAGTACCGGAATCTGGGTTTTGACACAACTGAGCAAGGGCCCCAAACTTCAGAATGAACCAACTCAAAAGGAGCACTTGCATGTAGATTTATTCTAGGACTCAAACTAGCACGATGGTATTTAGCAAAACGACATGATTCACACTCTAAAATAGAGAGATGTTGAAATTGAGGACAAATTTTCTTTAACAGGGACAAGGATGGATGACCATGACGATAATGAATCTCAAGAGGTGACTCAATCCCAACACAAGCAGCTGCTTTAGAAACGGAAGTGTTGAGAAGATACAAGCCATTGGTCTCACGTCCTTCACCAATAATCTTCTTCGTCGTAAGATCCTGAAACACACAATGGTCAGAAAAGAATGTGACAAAGCAATTAAGATCACGAGTAAGTCTACTAAGAGACAACAGATTAAATGAGAAATGGGGTAAACTCAAAACAGAGGATAGATGCATATTTGGAGTTAGGATAACCGAGCCTGACCCAAGGACCTTAGATGTGGAACCATCAGCAAGGGTAACAGGGGAATGAGATGTGTAGGGCTGAAAAGTGGAGAAGACGCTAGGATTACCTGACATATGACCTGTGGCTCTGGAATCAATAACCCACTTGGAGGAAGACAAGACAAGACAAGCACTATCATTACCTGAATTCGTAATTGCCGTCATAGAAGGAGATGATCGCTATAGGAGCTCCTTGAATTGGATGAATTGGGAATACTCATATGTTGAAGTAGGGGGATTAGATTTTCACCAGAGGCAAAGTGTGCAGCTCGTCCCCTTTGATTAACACGTTGAAGTTTCCTGTAATCACGCTTATAATGTCCCTCTTTGTGACAATAATGGCAGATTATGGGCTCTTGATTCTATGGGGTGCCACTATGAACGAATGACTTATATGGTTGCTTTGGTGACTCAATTTGCATCCTCTGACTTATAAGAGCATTCTTGGGGGCCCCATCTGATTATCTGAAGGCTATATGGGTTTTACACTTTCACTACGTTGAATCCGTGAGTACCCATCCTATAGACTGGGAACCTCAGAGTCTGCAAAGACCCTTTCTCGGGCAGCCTCAAATCTCGTGGCCAAGCCTGCCAAGAAACTCATTATTGCCATCTGCTCTTGCCGTTGTTGCTGAGTTTTGACATCTAGAGTGAAGGGCATCAATGAATTTAAGGCCTCATATGTCTTCTTGAAGTCCATGAAAAATGCTTGAAGAGATTGATCTTGTTGGTCTGCCCGATAGAAAGCCTTACATACGTCATAGATACGAGTAAGATTTCCCTTACCTGAATATTGAAATTCCAAATATTTCATCAAGTCTTTAACTGTTTCGCAATGGCCAACTAACCCAAGCACATCCCCATCAATTGAGTTCCGGATTTGAAGGAATAGTCCAGCATCATCCCTCGACTAGACTTTCTTAGTAGTTGCATCCTTAGGAGAATCATCAGTCATATGATCGTCCTTGTCAGTACTTCGGAGATATAGTTTAATAGTCGTGACCCATTCAAGATAATTAGAGGAATTAAGTTTCCTCTCTGTGATTTTTGACATGACTGGAAAAACTTCAGCGATGACACTAGACTTATCACCCATTTTAATGAACTAAAATTTGAACAAAACCTGATCGGTAGAGGAAGACAGCAAAAATCACCCACTGAATGTCCAAACTGAGTCTACACAGGTGCTTAGATGACTCAGGCGACCTTGACATTTATTTTTGACAATGGATCTGACCAGCAGTGGCGGGGCGTGAGGTCGCCAACGGAGGAGAGATTCTCTAGAATTGTTCTTCTACAACGTGCGACTCCACCCACGGTGGTGGTGACGTCAGGCGAGCACCCTTAGAGACAGCGTCAAAATGGAAGGAGCCTTTTTTTAATACAAACAAAGAACCCTAACCCAAGAGCACACTGGCTCTGATACCATGTCAAGGAGCACACTGTCTTTTCTAACACGCCCCCTCACGTGCAAGCGTAGTCTTTTTTAGCTTCGCACGTGAAACCTTAATTTTTTAAAACTGGGTGGCGCTGAGTTTCGAACCCATGACCTCTTAGTCAACAAGGGAAGGATTTGGTGAAGATGATAGGGGATGGTGTCCTCCGTGGAGTCGAGGAATTGAAGATCTAAAGGTGTTGTGACATGATTAAAGGGAAAAATTGTTTCATCAAAAATGACATGACGGGAAGTGATGATTTTGTTGGTGGTTAAGTCGGGACATCGAAAACCGAGCTGATTAGATGGGTAGCCAAGGAAAATACAATGGGCCGATTGTGGGGAAAGTTTGTGAGGGGCGGTGGCTGAGGTGTTAGGATAGCAAAGGCATCCAAAAACACGTAGATGAGAGTAGGAGGGTGGGGTTTGAAAAAACACTTCGTGGGGGGTACGTTTTTGAAGACTTGTGGTGGGTACGAGGTTAAATAGATGGCAGGCCATATGAAGGGCTTCAACCCAATATTCAGGGGGTAACTGGGCCTGGAAGAGGAGCGTCCGAATGGTGTTGTTGATAGTTCTGATAGTTCGCTCAACACGCCTGTTTTGTTGACTCGTGTGGGGACAGGAGAAACGGAAGACTATGCCTAGATCATTAAAAAAATTTTAGAGAGGAGTGTTGCGATATTCTGTTCCATTGTCACATTGTATAACCTTAAAGGTGGTGTTAAGTTGATTTTTCACATAAGCTAAAAAAGATTTTATTTGGGAAAAAATATCAGATTTGTGACGTAGGGGAAAAACCCATAAATAATGTGAGAAATCATCTAAGAGAAGCATGTAAAATTTAAAGCCAGTAATACTAGGAACAGGGGATTGCCATAAATAAGTATGCATTAATTGAAACGGAAAACTTGAAATTCAGACACAAGAACTAAAAGGAAGACGAACATGCTTTCCTAACAGACAAACATGGCAGAAAGTATCTTTAAAATGTTTATTATTAATAAGAAAAGACAGAGAAGGGACTCCATGAAGAACAGCTGGGCTAGGATGACTAAGACGACGATGCCACGTTTGTGTGTCAACGAGCGCTGCGTGGACCTGGGCTACGAGAGGGTGTGTGCGTAGAGGGTAGAGAGGACCGTCACTATTGGAGCGATGAATCACGGTTCCCGTCTAAAGATCCTTCATAGAAAAACCACGGGAGTCAAATTCTACAGTGCAATTATTATCATGGGTAAATTGACGAACAAAAATGAGATTATGGATAATGTGAGGGGGGGCTATGACATTAGTGCGGGATAGGGGTGCGGAGGTGGGAAAAATATGTTTACCAACTGCCGTAGCGCGTACTTTGGATCTGTTACCTACAGTGATGAGAGGTGGTGAATTTAAAGGTGAAGAATAAACCTAAGAAATAGTACCTGGGTTTGAAGCAATGTGGTGTGAGGCACCGGTGTCCATGTGCCATGTGGGTTCACGAAGGGTCATTGTATCAAATTGGTGGGCCAGAGCTATGAGGGTGGGGGGTTGGGGGGCTGGGGGGCTGGCGGGTTGGGGTAATTCGGGTAGGGGGGATTTTGGGTTGGATAGGGAGGGTATTGGGTTGGGTAATTGGTGTAGGTGGGGTAATTGGGGTAAGTGGGCTGAGTTAAATAAGCTTGGGCTGGGTGGGGAAGGAATTGGGCCGTGGGCCCAATATTCCTTGGCTTGGGTTGGGATAAGAATTGGGGATCTGCCAGTTATCCAAATGCTCGAAGGATTGCCGCACGCCCCTGTCGCAGTTCCGACCTCGATCGCGACCGCGCACCAGGCGAACTCCGCGACCATCAGCCGTCTGTCCACGGCAGCCGCCGCTGCCCTGGGACTTCCCGCTGCCGCCGCTGCTGTAGCTGAGCTGCTGACCTCTCCCGCCGCCGAAGCCTTGCACCTGGCTCGCTCCACCACTGAAACCTTGCCGCCCGGAGAGGGTGGCTGTTATGGCGGAACCCCCTTCGCTGGCAGTGATGAAAGGTTGACGTTGTTGTTCTAAGAGAAGAAGGGCCGATCTCATTTCCATGAACGTCGGCGGTGGTTTATGGAATTTGAGGAAGGAGGTTTGCTTGCCAAGGTCATCCGGGAGGCCACGTAGGGTTTAGAGAACAAGTTGGTTTTCGGTGACTGGGCATCTACTTCGTCCAGCCAATCAACAGTATTCCGAAGGGTTTGACAGTAAGTTGTGATGGTGGACGTGCCTTTGACAATGTTATAGAACTGGTGCTCCAATTGCATAGCTCTGGCCGTTTTGTTGTCATGAAATAGGTTGTGTAAATATTTTACTCCCATATAAGATAAAATATTTTACTATATATTTATTTAAAAATGTTTGAGGAGATGATGAGATCAGAAACCTCATCGTTGATGGTTGAAAGAATCCATCCTTGAATAAGGGAATCTAGTTGAAGCCATTCAATATCATCTTTCCCGGTGGAGGTTTTCTCACCGGTGACGAAGCCTTCAAGATTGAACCATCTGACCAAGAGAAGAAAGGGATGACTCCACTTCTTGTAGTTTGGTTCCGAGAAACTGAGAGTGATGGGTACTTGTAATTTGACATTAGAGACGGTCGTAAAAGCAAGATTATTTGCAACAGTGGTGGAAGAAGAGACGGATTTTTCCGATGAGATGTTGACAAAAAGAGAGGGAGAAGGTGGCTAGTGAAGGAAAGGGACCGGCGACTCCTTTGCCGGAGAGGAGAGATGACTCGACGGCAGCAAGAGAGAGGAGGGATTAGCCTAGGATTGGCTCCGATACCATGAAGAATTGTATATTTCCAATGATCATTACAAAATATTTAACTCCCCTTATATACATGTAGGAGAGTGTAGTATAAGGAAACTACATAAAATGGAAATCCTATACAAGTATGGAATCTACCATATATAATAATCATATTAAATATGGAATATTAGTTTAACATATTTAACACCTTCGGGATAAGGAAACTTGGGATACGGTGTAATTTTTTCCCGTTCTTTATTTGATTTCCAACTATAAAATTTGAGGCTATTGGATTGTGGTGGCGGCAACACAACTTCGAAGGAAATTCTGTCAATGTTTTTTTTGGTTTTTTTATTTGTGATGCGTTCTCTCAATGAGAGCACCAATTGATATGATATCATATTGGGATAAGGAAGGATTTCGAGCACCTTTGAGCTCCAAGAATAAAAGAGGAGAAAAAAAGAGAGAGATTGGGGTTTTAGGAGAAAGTATTTTCTTTATTCATTGATTAATAATTTTATGAGTAATGGCTACATATATAGATGGTAGATCTAAAGAATCCTAACCATACAAGGTAACTAAATAAACCATAATACTAATAATCTAATATAATTATACTTCCTAATTATAATATAATTACCTAACCATAAATAATAAAACTACATATAATAATAATATAATAATAATAATAGTGGTAATATAAATAACTAAATATAGTCATGTATCACTTTACATTGTCATATTTGACATTATCTCTTTGTTTAACATTATGCATTTGTGTGTATGACTTTATACAATGGCATGATTGTCATTATGCATGTGGTTACGTGTGGCGTTAAATGTGGTCTTGTTTGACAGTGTATGGACATTTTACTATAGCAATTTACTGAGTTTATATTTATTGCTTAAGAATTTTGAAGAGTATCAGCTCCATATTTTTAAAAATAAAATAAAATTGTGGGGTTAGAGATTTACTCCATATTTTAAAAATAACAGAAAGAAATCAACCATAGAATTTTGTTCTTTGAAAGAAAATAGAGATGATGTAGTTTGAAGTATAGCTTCTTCAAACCATTTGTGATCTCTATCAAGTTTATTTATTACAGTATGTGGGAAAGCTTGAACATTTTTAAGCTTGCTTACTTTGGTCACATATAGTCTCGGAGCCATCATTTTATGAAAGGTGTTTCATATTAAAATTATGGCTTACCTTCTTTCATATAAATATCTTCTCGTCTTGATTTGATTCAATAGAATTATTAAAGATATATAATTATACGGGTATGATTTATTTAAAAAATGATTTAAATATATCAATAAAACAAATCTTTTTTTAAAGAAATAAAATAACATTTTTTTTAGAATAGCCCAATAAAAAGGACAGTTTATACAGAGTGTTAAGAAATTCTTACGAGAAAATTCAAATTTGGAAGTATTATAATCATATTGTATTTTTCTTAAATGTAAATTCTATGTCACAAAAATAGTTACATAATCCATATAATCATAGTTTTGGACTCAAGCCCAAAAAAGAAACTGACCAAAATCACAGTTTCTTTCTACATTTTACAACACCCTAACAACAACCTCGCACTAAATGAGAGTGAGAGTGCCATATTCCCTTGGACTGCCTAAATCAATTACAGGAGTTTAAGTTTGATCTCTTATTTCGAAAATATGACATAACTTTTACTCCTAGTTTGGTCCTTCTCCCTTTTAGATATGGACCTCATGACCTCATAGGCATCACTCTTCATGGAGTGAGCTAACGGATTGATATTATATGCGTTTCTCCAAAGAAAATGCAGCAAGGCTGCAAATATGCAAGGGATATCCATCCACGAATCTCAATGACTCAATTTTATTTTTATAATTTTTTGCACATAATAATAACGAGGATCCTTTTGAGGGATATTTATGTGTGACGAACTTCAATAATTTATGTGAAATTGTCATGATATAGTTTGTAAGTCATATTTTTGAGTAAAATTCATTCTCCTCAATATTTTAAAGTTGGATGAAGGTGGGATTCGAACTCGTGACCTCTTGGTAAGGAATACTTTGATACCATGCCAAAGAACCAATTCAATCAAAAGCTCAAATTTGTAGTTAAAGGCCTAGGAAAGTTATGTACTCTAAGAGAACCTACATCAAATGAATGTCAATGATGCTTTTCTTCATGGTGATCTACATGAAAAAGTTTACATGACTCTTTCCCATGGGTTCACCTCGAGGAACAAATGATTGGTATGTCGGTTATATGTATCACTTAACGGTCTGCGCAAGGCTCCTGAATACTAGTTTTCCCAATTATCCTTTTCCTTGAGGCAGTTTGACTTTGTTCAATCTAAATCCGATTATTCCCTCTTAAATTACATTTGAGGAACTCTTGACTCTTGAGCTGAGAGTTTTAGTTTACATGGATAATCTTGTCACAGCTGGGAATTATAAGGATTTTATTTTTTGTTTTAAAAAAATATCTGTTTGAATGCTTCCACATGAATGATCTTGGATTAATTAAATATTTCTTGGGCATTGAAGTTGCTGAAAATTCAAGAGGTACTTCTTTGTGTCAGCAGAAATATGCTCTTGATATTCTTTTTGAGACATGTTTCTTAGCTGCTGGCCAACCCAATGCATTATCGCAGGTCTATCGATCAACTAATGCATGTTATTATTACCCGTATTAATTTGTCTTATGTTCATATTTCATCTCAATTAGTGGGGACCCCTCAACAAGAGCATTAAGACGGTGCGGTCAAGCTGCATTCGCTACATCAAAGCTCAGCTCATATCGGATTTTTTCTTGCACACTGAAAGAATTAATTGGGAGAAAATTCTCTCGTATTTCTTGTGTTTACAATTTACAACCAAGGCATATATATAGATATATATATATATATATATATATATATATATATATATATATATATATATATATATATATATATATATATATATATATATATATATATATATATAT